GGGGGAGGTCTCACTGATGGAGGTGAGGGGGGGCAGGGGCAGACTGACCATTTGGAAACACGGGCACTGCCCCAGGGCCCGGGGTCAGTAGGGGGCCCCATGAGATGCCCCTGGTACCTTTTTCATAGGCTTTTTTGTGTTTGGGCAAGGACACAGGGGCCCCATGATCCCCTATTGCCCGGGGGCCCCATGAGTTGTCAGTCCGCCCCTGTGAGGGGGGAAGATAGGCTCACTGATGAAGGTGGGGGAGGCCTCACTTATGGAGGTGGGGGGAAGGCTCACTGATGGAGATGAGGGGGGGGTAGGCTCACTGATAAAGGTGGGGGGGAGGGAAAGCAAGGCTCTGTGAGGCAGGTGGGGAGGGAAAGCAAGGCTCTGTGAGGCAGGTGGGGAGGGAAGGCACAGTGAGGCAGGTGGGGAGGGAAGGCACAGTGAGGCAGGTGGGGAGGGAAGGCACAGTGAGGGAGGTGGGGAGGGAAGGCACAGTGAGGGAGGTGGGGAGGGAAGGCACAGTGAGGGAGGTGGGGAGGGAAGGCACAGTGAGGGAGGTGGGGAGGGAAGGCACAGTGAGGGAGGTGGGGAGGGAAGGCACAGTGAGGGAGGTGGGGAGGGAAGGCACAGTGAGGGAGGTGGGGAGGGAAGGCTCAGTGAGGGAGGTGGGGAGGGAAGGCTCAGTGAGGGAGGTGGGGAGGGAAGGCTCAGTGACGGAGGTGGGGAGGGAAGGCTCAGTGACGGAGGTGGGGAGGGAAGGCTCAGTGACGGAGGTGGGGAGGGAAGGCTCAGTGACGGAGGTGGGGAGGGAAGGCTCAGTGACGGAGGTGGGGAGGGAAGTCCAGCTCATGAAATCTGATCCAACAGAAGATCTACTGGAGCTCAAAATTGCTGAAAGTGGTAATGCTGGTTCTGATAGAAGTCAGAACACACAGAGCATTGCAGTTTGTTGTGAATGGGGCTGTGTAGCCATAGACTTGTTAGGGTGCCCATGCTGACCCGTGTCCACAGCCAAAAGTGCCTACAATGGGCATGTGAGCATAAGAACTGGACCGCGGAGCAATGGAAGAAGGTGGACTGGTCTGATGAATCACATTTTCTTTTACACCATGTGGATGGTGCGTGTTTCCTTTACTTTGGGAGGAGATGGCACCAGGATGCAGTATGGGAAGAAGACAAGCCGGCAGAGACACCATGATGCTTTGGGCAATGTTCTGCTGGGAAACCTTGGCTCCTGCCATTCATGTGGCTGTTACTTGACACGTACCACCTACCTAAACATTGTTGGTAACCAAGTACACGGAAACAGTATTCCTTGACGGCAGTGGCCTCTTTTAGCAGGATAATGTGCCCTGCCACACTGCAAAAATGGTTCAAGAATGGTTTGAGGAACACAGCAAGCTCAAAGTGTTGACTTGGCCTCGAAATTCTTCAGATCTCAATTCAATTGAGTATGGAATGGGCTGGAAAAGGCCCCACCAATCCATGAAGGCCCCACCTCCCAACTTACAAGACTTAAAGGATCTGCTGACAGCTTGGTGCCAGATACCACAGCATACCTTCAGAGGTCTAGTGGAGTCCATGCCTAGATGGGTGAGGGCTGTCTTCGTGGAACAAGGGGAACCTACCCAATATCAGGTGCGTGGTCAAAGTCATGACTGATCTGTGTATAGGTTTTAGAATTCTACAAGAAAAGCGAAGTGACGTAAGCCATTCATTAGTCCAACTCCTCGTCCAGATCCCTAAAGCTCAGATTTTACTGCCCAGCAGCCATGATCCAACCACCACCATTGTGTCTGCCCTGAACTCTTCACATAACCAATCACTATCATGGTTCTCTCATCAACAAAATGATGACCGTGGTGATGCAAGATGATAATTACCACCAAAAGCCACGCCAACGTGACTCTGCGGAACACAAATGGATGAAAGCACGCCTCATGTACAGGGCTTCATAGACACCGAGTCCCATGTTAGACGGCGGGGCCTGACATTGGTATAGTCCAGGCTGAGTCAGCCATCCCTCCAGCCAGGAGGACACCAGAAAAGCACAGCCAATCCCGTCTCCACGCAGGCCTCTGCCAAACTCTCACACTAATTGCAGATTATCAGCCGGCAGAACTTCCGCAGTTCACACACACTTCAATCAAGGATTTCCTCAACAACCCTGGGACGCTAACCGTGGTAGGACAGCTGTGTGTGACCTCAGGACTCCAATCGTTCCCTCTGCCGGGGCTCTAACGACTTCCTGTCACAGGGAAAACTACGGGGGATGACAATTACAAAGAAAAACATTCAGGCCGCCAACAGTTTCAAGTCATTCTTCATTAGTAGCTTTTTATTGCTGGAGTTTGTTTTAATATGGAGAGAACTTAAAGGGGACATTCCCCCTCCCAGTGAAAGTTCAGTCTATCCCCCTCCGCCTCCCACCACCACCTGTTGGTGCTTTGTTATGCTGGATTCATATACTGAGAAGCCCAGCAGATCCAGTGATGCCCCCATCTCTGGCACCAATCTCCTGCTCCAGGTCCTATATCATGCTGCCATCTTCTTTTCATTATGGGGAGCCGGTCGTCTCTCCCTGGATCCTGTGCTGGCTCCCCCCCCTCCAATGCCGGCACTAGATATCACACGTGGTGCCGGGTCTTTGCATATTGCTCTTTGAAGGAGGGAAGTAATGCCTCTTGGGCTGATGATTAACCACTTGCAAATCCGATACGTCACCGGACCTTTGGTGGTAATAGCGGGACGATGATTTCAGCCGGAAAAGGCCCACCAATCCATGAAGGCCTCACGTCCCAACTTACAAGACTTAAAGGATCTGCTGACAACTTGGTGCCAGATACCACAGCACACCTTCAGAGGTCTAGTGGAGTCCATGCCTAGATGGGTAAGGGCTGTCTTGGTGGTAACACCGGGACGATGATTTCAGCCGGAAAAGGCCCACCAATCCATGAAGGCCCCACGTCCCAACTTACAAGACTTAATGGATCTGCTGACAACTTGGTGCCAGATACCACAGCACACCTTCAGAGGTCTAGTGGAGTCCATGCCTAGATGGGTGAGGGCTGTCTTGGTGGTAATACCGGGACGATGATTTCAGCCAGCAGTCGGCTTTCTTGTAAAAGCAATCCTAGTGGCCAATAAGCTGCAGGATTGCGGAAGGGGACATCCCCCACTACTACCCTACCACTCACTCGTGCTTTCCCATCCCTCCGGAAGACCCAAGAACCAGCCGGTGCTTCTGCCAAATGACTATGGCCTTTTTTTGATACAGTTTACATGTAAAAATCGGCTTTTTTTGCTAGAAAATTGCTTAGAACCCCCAAACATTTATGTATTTTGTTTTAGCAGAGACTAGTGAATAAAATGGTAGATTTTGCCATTTTTATTTTTTAAATGTGTGCAGTGGTTTTCTTCTAACTCAAAAAATACACGTTAATAGATTTTAATGCACACAAACACAATACCCAATTTTTTTGGGTAAGATATAAAAGACTGTGTTACGCCGAGTAAACAGATACCAAACATGCCACGCGCATTAAATGGTGCCAAACTGCGGTATCCTAGGCAATGCTTTAAAAGCCTTTACAGGCTACCAGTTTAGAGTTACACAGGAGGTCTGGTGCGAGAAATATCGCTCTCACTTCGGCGCTTGCGGTGAAACCTCAGGTGTGGTAAGATCAACGCTTACACATGCGTGCGGAGACCAACACGTCTGATTGCCTTTGCTTGCGAGCACGGGGGAGCATGGGAGCTTTTAAGATTTTTTTATAATTTTGTTTTTCAATTTTGGCACCATTTCTTTACATCTTTTATTGCTGTCAGAAGAAATGTAAACATCCCTTGTGGTAGCAATAGGCAGTGACAGGTCCTATTTATGGGGAGATCAGGGGTCTATTAGACCCTGAATGTCTCTTCTGCCCTTGAAAGCATCAGATCAGACCAAGATCGGTGTAATCTGAGACTTCCTAATAAAAAAAAACTGCCGGAGGAAACTGGAAGTAACAAAGTACTAGTCGCTTTTTGGTTTCCTATACTATAGAGCTGATTGGGGAAGTCACTGGGCGGGGGAAAGGAGGGGGTGACTCCTCCCACCACCTCTAATAGCAATCAAGTGGCTAATTAAATACCTTATATTAGGCTCAGTGACGTCATCACTGGGTCTCTGTTCTTCTCTACACAATGCAGGTGTAAAATTGCGTATGATAAACCACTGTGCAAATAAAGTGTGACATAAAAAAATGCAACACCCACCATTTTATTCTCTGGGGCCTCTGCTTTATATTAATAATTTATTTATATATATTTTTTACATGTGAGAGACAAAGGTCAGAATTGGCCTGGGGGTTTTATGGTTAACGTCTTCACGCCGGCCGAATGCAAATGTGCGGCCTCCCGGCGTCTGGGCCTAGATGCTGAGCGCCCGCACATTTGCGTTCTATTAAAAAAAGACATGTGTGCTGAGAGCGCGCCCTGCGTACTCCCAGCACACGTCCGGTGCTCACAGAAAGGTCCCGATCTCCTCTTTTTATCGGGACCTTTCCCGATCATGTGACCATCGTGACAGCGTGTCACAGCAGTCACATGACCCTAAACCCCGCCCCCCCGGCTTCTGAAACCCTTAGAGGGCCGGGAGGCACCGGCGCAAAGGGGTTAAAACCACTTTACCAGAGATAGACAAACACACACACTTGCCAAAAGTATTGGCCCCACCCTCCAAATCATGTGATTCAGGTGTTCCAATCCCCTCCAAATCATGTGATTCAGGTGTTCCAATCCCCTCCAAATCATGTGATTCAGGTGTTCCAATCCCCTCCAAATCATGTGATTCAGGTGTTCCAATCCCCTCCAAATCATGTGATTCAGGTGTTCCAATCCCCTCCAAATCATGTGATTCAGGTGTTCCAATCCCCTCCAAATCATGTGATTCAGGTGTTCCAATCCCCTCCAAATCATGTGATTCAGGTGTTCCAATCCCTCCAAATCATGTGATTCAGGTGTTCCAATCCCCTCCAAATCATGTGATTCAGGTGTTCCAATCCCCCTCCAAATCATGTGATTCAGGTGTTCCAATCCCCTCCAAATCATGTGATTCAGGTGTTCCAATCCCCTCCAAATCATGTGATTCAGGTGTTCCAATCCCCTCCAAATCATGTGATTCAGGTGTTCCAATCCCCTCCAAATCATGTGATTCAGGTGTTCCAATCCCCTCCATATCATGAGATTCAGGTGTTCCAATCCCCTCCAAATCATGTGATTCAGGTGTTCCAATCCCCTCCAAATCATGTGATTCAGGTGTTCCAATCCCCTCCAAATCATGTGATTCAGGTGTTCCAATCCCCTCCAAATCATGTGATTCAGGTGTTCTAATCCCCTCCATATTATGTGATTCTGGTGTTTCAATCCCCTCCAAAATCATGTGATTCAGGTGTTCCAATCCCCTCCATATCATGTGATTCAGGCGCTCCAATCACCTCCATGGACACAGGTGTATACAATCCATCCCCTAGGCATGCAGACGGCTTCTACAAACATTGGTGAAAGAATGGGTCGCTCTCAGGAGCTCAGTGACTCCAAGCGTGGTCCCGTGATAGGTGGCCACCTGGGCAATAAGTCCATCCGTGACATTTCCAGGCTACTAAATATTCCACGCTCAACTGTTAGTGGGATTATAACAAAGTGGAAGCAACTGGGAGCAACAGCAACTCAGCCACCAAGTGGTAGGCCACGTCACATGACAGGGCGGGGTCAGCGCATGCTGAAGCGCACAGTGCGCAGAAGTCACCAACTGTCTGCAGAGTCAATAGCTAAAGACCTCCAAACTTGGTGTGGCCTTCAGATGAGCCCAACAACAGTGTGTAGAGAGCTTCATGGAATGGGTTTCCATGGCCGAGCAGCTGCATCCAAGCCTTCCATCACCAAGTGCAATGCAAAGCGTCCGATGCCGTGGTGTAAAGCACGCCGACACTGGACTCTAGAGCAGAGGAGATGTGTTCACGGGAGTGACCAATCACGCTTCTCTGTCTGGCAATCTGATGGACGTGTCTGGGTTCAGTGGTTGCCAAGAGAACGGTACTTGTCTGACTGCATTGTGCCAAGTGTAAAGCTAAGTTCACACTTATGCAGTTTGCATTTGATCATTTTCTGCAGTACTTTTTGTGGTGCAATTTGTATTTTTGTACATGAGTTTGATGTGTTGATGCGTTTTGACTAAGACTGGGAGGACATTACAGGTCATGTGCGCGGAAAGGCCGGCGGCCCATTACTTTTGGCAATATAGTGTATATACACGGATCAAAAAAATGAAAGGAACACTTTGAAAACCCATCAGATCTCAATGGGGAGGAATCTCCTGCTGGATCTCTATACTGACATGGATGGGGGATGGGTGAGGAATGTAAGGACGCCCCATTGTTGGATGGAAATGATCGACCTACAGAGGACTGAATTCAAAGACACCCCGAAAATCAGAGTGAAGAAATGATGCAGCAGGCGAGTCCATTGTGCTGAAATTTCATTGCAGCAACTCAGAATGGTCCTCAGTAGTCTGTGTGGCCCCCACGTGCTTGTATGCATGCCTGACAACGTCGGGGGAGGGTCCTAATGAGACCACGAATGGTGTCCTGGGGGATTTCCTCCCAGATCTGGACCAGGACATCACTGAGCTCCTGGACAGTCTGAGGAGCAACCTGGTGGCGTCGGATGGACCGAAACATGACATCCCAGAGGTGTTCTATTGGATTTAAGTCAGAAGAGTGTGGGGGCCATTCAATGGTATCAATTCCTTCATCCTCCAGGAACTGCCTGCATACTCTCCCCACATGAGGCCGGGCAATGTCATGCACCAGGAGGAACCCAGGACCCTCTGCACCAGGAGGAACCCAGGACCCTCTGCACCAGGAGGAACCCAGGACCCTCTGCACCAGGAGGAACCCAGGACCCTCTGCACCAGGAGGAACCCAGGACCCTCTGCACCAGGAGGAACCCAGGACCCTCTGCACCAGGAGGAACCCAGGACCCTCTGCACCAGGAGGAACCCAGGACCCTCTGCACCAGGAGGAACCCAGGACCCTCTGCACCAGGAGGAACCCAGGACCCTCTGCACCAGGAGGAACCCAGGACCCTCTGCACTAGGGTAGGGTCTGACAATAGGTCCAAGGATCTCATCCTGATACCTAATGGCAGTCAGGGTGCCATTGTCTAGCCTGTAGAGGTCTCCGGCCCTCTCCCGGGCCGCGCCGGCAGTCTCCGGCCCTCTCCCGGGCCGCGCCGGCAGTCTCCGGCCCTCTCCCGGGCCGCGCCGGCAGTCTCCGGCCCTCTCCCGGGCCGCGCCGGCAGTCTCCGGCCCTCTCCCGGGCCGCGCCGGCAGTCTCCGGCCCTCTCTCCCGGGCCGCGCCGGCAGTCTCCGGCCCTCTCCCGGGCCGCGCCGGCAGTCTCCGGCCCTCTCCCCGGGCCGCGCCGGCAGTCTCCGGCCCTCTCCCGGGCCGCGCCGGCAGTCTCCGGCCCTCTCCCGGGCCGCGCCGGCAGTCTCCGGCCCTCTCCCGGGCCGCGCCGGCAGTCTCCGGCCCTCTCTCCCGGGCCGCGCCGGCAGTCTCCGGCCCTCTCCCGGGCCGCGCCGGCAGTCTCCGGCCCTCTCCCGGGCCACGCCGGCAGTCTCCGGCCCTCTCCCGGGCCGCGCCGGCAGTCTCCGGCCCTCTCCCGGGCCCCGCCGGCAGTCTCCGGCCCTCTCCCGGGCCGCGCCGGAAGTCACTGGCCCTCTCCCTGGGCCACGCCGGCAGTCACTGGCCCTCTCCCTGGGCCACGCCGGCAGTCACTGGCCCTCTCCCTGGGCCACGCCGGCAGTCACTGGCCCTCTCCCTGGGCCACGCCGGCAGTCACTGGCCCTCTTAGCACTTCCAGTCCTGACAACATTAACTGGATACTGCGAGTGTTGTCACCCTAGGACAGGAAGTGTGAAATAAAAAGGAAGAAATTCTGAAATAATATAAAACTAAAGCAGCCACCATATCTAGGGATTGGTAAGAAGGAATATATGAGCAGCCGGATGGAGATGAAGGCGGGATGTAAATCCGAGGTTGCTGTAGATGGGGAGAAGCCGCCATCCTGCAGGCTCTGCTGTTTCTGGGGACGGTGATAGCGGATAATTCCTGGCACATGTCTGCACAGATGGGGCGCATTCCTCTCCTGTCATCAGGCTGTAATCTATACCAGGAACCCTCCACCCTATACAGGACGCACCCCACCTCTACATAACTGACAACTACCAACCCCCGGGGGGTGCCTCACATCATCTAACCCCCCCCCGCACAGCAAGGAGGTCATAAAATCCATTGAGAACTATAAAAGTAAAGAAACCTCTCCGAAGGAAAGACCTGGACATCGAGTTCCCGCATCTGCACACGGTGCTCCACTCATACAGGAAAATAACTGACACTTATTTGCAACAAAGTGACAGTTATGCAGTCCATAGACGGGTCGAAAACCGGCCGGTTTTAAAAAAAAACGAAAAATCGGTCGTTCAATAGGCCGACGTTACCACCAACCAGGGGCGGACTGACCATTTGGAAACTCGGGCACTCCCCAAGGGCCCTGGGTCAGTAGGGGGCCCCATGAGATGCCCCTGGTACCTTTTTCATAGGCTTTTTTGAGTTCGGGCAAGGACACAGGGGCCCCATGATCCCCTATTACCTGGGGGCCTCATGGGTTGTCAGTCCGCCCCTGCCACCAACGGTAAAAAAAAAAAAAAAAAATTGGCCGATTTTCGCCCCGTCTACAGCCGGCATTTAATTACTTCTGTCCCTGCAGAGAGCTCCACTATTATATTTGAAATGAAAAAGTATTGCGGTTGCAACAATGTATCTATTTGTATCCATTTCGGATACAGATACAAATAGATACATTGTTGCAACCGCAAGACTTTTTCATGTCAAATACAATAGAGGACTGGAATTCTTCTTCTTCTTCTTGCAGGTCACGGCTCATGCGCAGATTTTTTATCGGTAAAAAGATCGGCCGATTTGCCCATCATTGCCGGGAAAAATTGGCCGATTTTTTTCCAACTTCACCGATAAAAAAATGTGTGCCAAAACGGCCAACCAATTAACCCACTAACGGTGCAAAAATCGGCCGATTTTCGACCCGTCTATGGCCTGCATTATCCTCTGTGAAATCTAATGAAATGGGGGAAAAAAAAAATCTACGCACCCCGGATACATTCCACTACGCCCACCCCTACTTCCTAGGCTCAGCCCTCCCACCTGCAGGGTCCAGGAACCCCATGGCTGCCAGGTAGAGGGGAGGGACCCCAGAGAACGATCGATGGCGGATCTCACCAAGATCCCGGGAACGATGCGCGTTACGTCACCTCTGGGTTCTGCGCTCATTTTCCCTGGCCTCTGCGGCTCGGGAAGAAGCGCGATCCGTGCTCCATTAGCTTCAATGGAGGGCAACGAGACATTAAAGAGAACCCGTCATAACAACATTGAATCACATTTGGACGTTTGATTCCTGTGTGATATAAATAAAGCTTTAATGGAAAACAACAAAACGTAAAAGAAAACAAAAAATTACGCCAAAGCACTTAAACACAATTTTAAAAAAAAATGGAGCCTGCCCCACCGTCGGTGGACCCTGTATGAGCGTTTTTCCCCTACTACAAACGATTGACTTGGATCAGTATCGGCCACGCATCGCTTTGTCTCGCTCCATTGATCATTTTGGCGAATCAATGGTATTGCGCCATGTATGGCCACCATTACAAACACAAGGCACTGTTTATTGCTTTTTTTTCTTTTAACTTTATTGGCAGTGTACAAAGTGCACAGTCCTACTGTGCATTGCCTTGCAGTTACCTGCGGTGCCATCCAGTGCACTGCAGAAAAATGCCGCACGTCTGCGTTCTTTCAAACGTATTGCCATGTGAATGGGAAGATTTGTTTTCTATGAGCCCTAGCAGTGACCTGAGGGGCTGACTTAGGCTGGGTTCACATGCTGCCATTTATGCATTTTTGAACACTCACACAATTTTTATGTGTTTTGTATTTTTATTCAGCCAATAGGAAAGTATTGACTTTGATGAGACGCTGGATGGGCGCTACCTTGACGCGATGCTGAATGGGCGCTACCTCGACTCGATGCTGGATGGGCGCTACCTCGACGCGACGTTGGATGGGCGCTGCCTCGACGCGACGTTGGATGGGCGCTGCCTCGACGCGACGTTGGATGGGCGCTGCCTCGACTCGACGCTGGATGGGCGCTACCTCGATGCGATGCTGGATGGGCGCTACCTCAACGCTGGATGGGCGCTACCTCAACGCTGGATGGGCGCTACTTTGATGCGATGTTGGATGGGCGCTACCTCGACGCTGGATGGGCGCTACCTCGACGCTGGATGGGCGCTACTTTGATGCGACGCTGGATGGGCGCTACCTCGACGCTGGATGGGCGCTACCTCGACGCTGGATGGGCGCTACTTTGATGCTGGATGGGCGCTACTTTGATGCGACGCTGGATGGGCGCTACCTCGACGCTGGATGGGA